GACATGGAGATGGAATAAAGACAGGTGAAGGGTCAGTGGTGAGGAAATTTGGGGGAGGGCATCTAAGAGGGAGGGAATTTGGGGCCAGGAGATGGGGGAAGGGAAGTCCAGCACCTCCTCCCTCATCTCCCTCTCTCCCCTCCCCTAGGGGAGGGGAGAGAGGGAGGGTCCCAGGGGGCCAGTGGAGGGCACCTCACCTTTCCGGATGGAGCCATCAGGGGAAGGGGCATAGTCAGTGAGGAGGAAGCAGGCTCGGTCCCGGCTGTAGCGGCCCCGGCTCCCGGGGGTGATGGGGCTCTTGTCTTCTGGTGACATGGCGGGCTGGTCAATAGCCGGGCAGTCCTCGTGGGCAAGCGCAGCTGCTGCAGGGTCCCCGTTGGGGCGGGGATCTGTGTCCCAAGGGTCAGACAGAGACACAAAGGAGAGAGTGAGGTGTGGGAACTCATGGAGAGGGCAAGGTCAGCAAGGAGAGGTGATGGAGGTGCAGGTGGTTAGGGGGTGTGGCTGGTGGGTTTGGGGATCGGATCGGGTCCTGGGTGGGGAGGGTGTTGAGTGTTGGGAAGGACAAAAGGGTAGGGAAGGGCGTTAAAGGCTAGGAAGTGGGAGTCAGGAGGGGTGTTGGGTTCTGAGAAGGGCAGGACTGAGGTAGGGTGTCGGGTGTTTGAAGGGACAGGGATGGGGGAAGAGGTGGTTGGGAAGTGAACGGGGTGCGGGGAAGGAGGCTGAGACAGAGTGGAGAGTGGGATGGTTGGTTGAAGTGGACTGAACAGGGCACAGCTGGGGTAGGGTGCATGGTTTGGGATAGGTTTGGAGGGATGGCTGGGAGGGATGCAGGGGGCTGGGAGGTGGTAGTCTAGGGAGGGGTGTCGGACGCTGGCAAGGGCACAGTGGGAGGCGTTGGGAAGGTGACAGATGAGAGAGGGGGGAGGTGGGGGTCCCCCAGGCTCTGACTTTAGCTATTTTTAATTGGTGTGAAACTGGGTCAGCGGCTGAGGGAGCAAGATGGGGGCCGGGCAGCCCAGCTCCCTTTCTTGACCTACTTACGGCATGGGGGTGGGGCCCCCCAGCCTCTCCCTTCCCCGGGACTGATGCCCCAATCACTGCCTCTGAGACACAGACTCCCCTGCGGGGAGAGATGAGCACAGGCTCAGTCAACTTTCCTCTCCCCTCACCACCTTCATCAGACACTGCAACAGTACCCTGGCCTCAGTCTCTGGCCCCTGATTCCCATGTGAGACTCTCTCCCTGTGCTCTGAACCGCCCCCCCATCTCTCTTTCTCTGAGTCCCTCTCACCATATGGCTGATCACTCTGCCCCCTGCCCCCCTGGTTCCCCTGAATACCTTGGCTGCAAGTCTGTCTCTCCCCAAAACTCTCTTTCACACGAAATCTCTGTTTCTCCATCACCGTCTATTTCCGTGCCTCTTCTCTGGCCTGGGCAATTGCTATTCACTTTCCTCTCTTCCGTCTCTGTTGCTGACCACCCCATCTCTCCGGAGTCTCAGCAACTACCTCCTGCCCCCCTCACAACCTCCCCACCTCTGCCTGCGCCCCCCACCTCCACCCCTCGCGCCCCCTCCTCACCTGCCCGGTTGATCTCAATCACTTCCTCCTGAGCCAACGGGCAAGGCTCCCCAGGGGCAGGCAGAGGAGGCAGCCCCATGATCCCGAGCCCACCCGCTCCCCCCCTGAGCAGCCCGGGGTGCGTGTGGGGCCCTGGTGGGTAGGCCCCTGCCACAGTCACCCCCATGGAGGGCGGGGTGATGGGTGGTGGAGGGCTGATGCTGCCGCTGCTGTGGTGAGGATGGGGCGGGGGCGGGGGCGGTGGGTCGGGCTTGCAATAGTTGGGCGAGCCGGGCTGCGGAGGCCGCGGAATATGTTTATTCCTCTTCTTGGGCAGCTTCTGTTTGGCCATGGCCAGCGAATAGTACATGCCAAAGTTGTTGACAATGACGGGCACGGGCATGGCGATGGTGAGCACCCCAGCCAGGGCACACAGCGCCCCAACCAGCATCCCTGACCACGTCTTGGGGTACATGTCTCCGTAGCCCAGGGTTGTCATGGTGACCACGGCCCACCAGAAGCCGATGGGGATGTTCTTGAAGTAGGTGTGGTTGGAGCCCAGGATGTCATCGGGGTCAGCGCCAATGCGCTCAGCATAGTAGATCATAGTGGCGAAGATGAGCACACCAAGCGCCAGGAAGATGATGAGGAGCAGGAACTCGTTGGTGCTGGCGCGGAGAGTGTGGCCCAGCACGCGCAGCCCCACGAAGTGCCGCGTGAGCTTGAAGATGCGCAGGATCCGGACAAAGCGGACGACCCGCAGGAAGCCCAGCACATCTTTGGCGGCCTTGGAACTGAGGCCCGAGAGCCCCACCTCCAGATAGAAGGGCAGGATGGCCACACAGTCAATGATGTTGAGGCTGCTCTTGAGAAATTCCACCTTGTCTGGGCAGAAGGTGATGCGCATGAGAAACTCAAAGGTGAACCAGACGACACACACACCCTCCACGTAGGTCAGGAAGGGCTCCGTCTCCACCTCCACGTTGGTGATGTTCTCCGGCGGAGCCCCCGGGATCGGGGAGGCCTGCGTCACTGTCTTGTTGCTGATGTGGATGAAACCCTCGTGGGTCTCCAGGCAGAAGGTGGTGATGGAGATGAGGATGAAGAAGAGGGAGGCGAAGGCCACGTACTGCGGGCAGGACAGGAGAGAGAGCGCAAAAGGTGACCCAGGCATCTGGTCAATTAGCCATCTCCCTGAGACCCTCCCAGTGGCCCCTTTCCCAGACACAAACCCCAGGGAAACCCAGGTGTCCCAACCTCAATGCCTCCATCACTTCTTGCATCCTGTTCTCTCTAAATCTTGCAAAAGGATCAGAGGCAGCTGTCCCCCAGCTCGGGAGAAGAGCTGGCCCCAGCAGCAGCAGCAGATGGGCCACTTCTTTCCTGGAAACAGCAATTCCTGGCTCCTTGCTCTGTCTCCTAGACCATCCCCCCACCCCGGCTCCTGTTCCCTGTGCCGTATCTCAGGGGTCCCTGGCAGGGTCCAAGCATTCTGCTGGAGGATGTGGGTAGGGAGACTGAGATCATACATCCTGGGTCTCAGAGGCTTTGGGGCTTAGCTTGGAGCTGAGGGAAGGCGAAGGGGAGAAGGTGGGTCGGAGGCAGAACCAGGAGGTGGTTAAGAGTAAGAAAGCCTGGGTTTGAATCCAGTTTTTTCCCTGCCTAATTGGGCAAGGAGATTAATCTTTCTGAACCTCAAATTTTTTACAGGATTATTGTAACGATTACATTAGATGAGTATACAAAGGGCCTGACTCCAAAACCAGTGCTTGGTCTAGTGTTTGGAACTTAGTAAGGCTTGAGCCGTTATTAGGGTGTTGCGGCATCAGTTAAAGGGAGCCAAGGTTGAGGCCTCAGATAGGTGCCGGTGTTTAAGGACCTTGATGCTAATGACTGGGTCTCAGAAAAGGGAGAAGGCTGAGTGAGGCCCTCACCCAGAGAGAACAGCGCAGAGCTGGACCCACAAGAGGGGAGGAGGGGTGTTAGGTCCCTGAAGGGAGAAGGAAGTGAAGGGTCAAGACTGAAAAAAGGGAAGATGATAGGGGTGGGGTTTAAGGCTCTGGAAAGGAAGGGAATGTCAGGGGCTTGAACACAGGGCAAGGGGAGAGGGCAGGGCTAGGCCCAAGGAGAGGTGAAGGGGCTTGTCAGGGGTTCTGAGATATGGGGGCAGGGGTGCCTGGTTCATTTCAAGATGGGGAAGGACCAGTGTCCTGAGCCCAATGGTGTGGGTTTTGATGAAGGCCTTGAGAAGAGACAGGGTCAAGCAAGATCTTGGAGAAGGCTCCTAGAAATTGTAGTTGGCTTTATCAGATATGCAGAAGGGAGGTCGAAGGAGTGGGCTTAGTCCTTAGAGAAGGAAGGGCATGGGCTTTGAGGCAGAGGGGGCTTTAATCAGACGGCTAGAGGAGAGAGGGCCTGGGGTGCAGAGAAGAGAGGAGAGCCAGGGTTGGCTCCCAGGCCAGCACTGTCCCTCTCTGCACTCTCTTTCCTCCGCGGGATGGGGGGCAAGGTCCGGGCTTGGGAGACCTTGACTTTAATCTGAAGTGCAGAGCCGAGAGGCGGGCCAGCGTCCGCCTCAGAGATGACCCTAGATCTTGGGGTGGGCTAGGGCTCAACTCTGGCCCTCTGCCCCGCCCCCCCCTTCGTTTCTCCGCAGTGGTTTAAGAGGCCAGAGGCCTCCGCAGAGCGCATGCCTGATGCTCCCCCGCCCCCCTCCGAGCCGGGCGCAGGGCGCAGGTTGCGGCACCGCAGTGGGGGCGGGCCGGATGGACCAGGGGGCGGGGCGCGCGGGGGGCAGCACCACGGACAGCTCCCCCAACCGCAGTGCGCAGCCGCAAGGCCTGAGCGCTGTCTTAACCCATTCCTGGCCGTTGCCGGGCAGGCAGTGCGCAGCTGCAGTGCCGCTTCACAGCGGGAGGCCACAGGCCAGGAGCTTGATTAACTCCTTCCCTCCCGGGACACAGAAAGAAAGGTGGGCACCCGTCGCAGTGCGCAGCTTAGAAGCTGGACAGCGTCAGGACCCCCTTGTCCAGAGATGCTTCAAAAGCAGAAGGGGTAGGAGGGCATGGAGTCCCTGTAAGAAGGAAAGAGGAGATTATGGGGAGAGGAGTGAGGGGGAGGTAGAGCCGGACCCTCCACTTTGCGTTGGCCTCAACTCTCAACTCTCAAACTCTCCTTTGGCGGCTAGAAGATGCTTGGCACTACGTGGACACTCAAAACACATCTGTAAAGTAAATGAATGTCCCCCGTAGCTGTCCCAGACCCCTAGTTTCACCTCAGAACACTTCAATGGGGTCACAAGAGGGAAGGGCTCCCCAGGCCATGGGGGGAGGGTGCCGCTCAGAGGCCTGAGGGGGCATATAGGGCCACGTCCTTTCTGCACCTCCTCTCCCCCACCTCCCCCCACCCAACCCCAAATCTTGCCAACTCAGCACTTCCCGGGGACCAAACTTTATGCGGTGCCTCCGGCCCCCCTCCCCCTCGCTCCCTCCCCCAGTGCGAATGCGGCACTGCGGGTCCTCCGTGTCCTTCCCGGCCCAGGACGCGGCACGGTGGGGGGAGGGTGCCGGACCGCCTCCTCCGAGTGTTTGGGTCCCCAGGAGGCTAGAAAGGGGCCTGGAGTCTCTCCTCTTTCC